GATCGTCGGTTCGAAGCCTACTGAAAGAAGTCTGATGAGGAAATGTGGTGATTTCCGAAATAGCTATCACTTCTACCATTTTTTAAAGTATTGTTGCTTTTCCACAATAAATTTTCATTAAAAAACGGCCTCGAGCTCAATAAAAATTGTTGTATATTAAAAATGTTTTTTTTTTTTTAATTCTGAAGCGGTACGCAACACTTTAATCTTCTTTAAACTCAATTGTATCCACTGCGATTTGAACTCGCGACCAATTATGTTAGAGCCAGAGGTAGAGTTGGGCACGGGATTAAGTATTCAATCCCGATCCCGCCCATTCCGAAATTCAATTTTTAAGTCCCGATCCCGCACATCCAGACGTTTTTCAGAATTGTACCGCGGGTTCCTTGGTCCCGAAATCTCTCCTAGAGATTAATTCTCATGTCTTTCAAATCAATTTAAATAATAAAAAGATTAATAATGAAAGATCTGGCATCTTCCGATATTTTTTTTTTGCTTTGCTATTCGTTTTCGTCTCAATAAAACATAAAAAAGTGTCGGGAGTGTCGGATTTTGGTAACGTCCCGCCCGCCCGGAAATTTTTTAAATACTTTCCTGATACCGCCAATGCCGGCTATTTTGAAATCAGTACCGATACCCCACGACCGTCCCTAGTCGGAGGTTTTCTCGTGGAGCTACTTCCACAATTAGCGCAACGCAAGCTTCACGCACTATCCGTTTTTCAATAAATTACAGACAGTTCTGAAATTTGTAGGGCGGAACTATAGCTTTGCTAGACTGCCTCCAAATTCCACTGACTCAGCCAGTTGCCTATGCACCGTGCTAAGTACGCCTTTTAATATAGTAAAAATAAAATAAAATAATATCTTTAAAAGAAAAAATATCAAAAAATTAAATCGTTAAAATTTTTTCTCATAAAAAGCTTGTTCAAAATAGAACCGGTTCTGAACGAGTTAAAAAGTTGTGCAGAGCAGGAGGGCGACGAGGGGGCAATTGTGCCCAGGCCGTACCCTCTTGAAGCTGGCTCGTCGCGAGTTCAGAACCAATTTGATTGGCTGCAGGGTAGTCGTAACAGAATCGAAAAGTGTCACTAATAATAACATCATAACAGTTACAATGTCATACTTTTTCAAGTGACGACAAATACAAATCAATGACGAGTAATATTGATTTCGATAACAATCCATTTACAGTGAAAATTTTAATTTTAGAGGAGTTCGCGTAAAAGCTGTATGGCTATTTATCAGCGGGATAGGCCCATTATGTCTCATAAGAATTTCTTCTTGTCCTGTCTTTCTTGGAACTCTACACTTAACCACTTTGCTTAATATCTAGAAAACAATCGGCTATTTGAGCAAAGTAAAAAACTTGGTTGAGATTTAATGAAAGCTTTATCTGAAATAAATTGCACGAAATGTTTATTTAATTTTTAAATGAGTAAAACTTTAAAGCCAAATTTCTGAATTAATTTTCTTCTAGCATGGAAACGCAGTTACTAATAGATGCAAATAAGCAACCTTCAAAATTACAAAAAAGTTTAAAAACTACGCACGTCAATACTGCTAATTAGAGATAAAAGCAACACTAAAAAGTGCATAATACAAAGGTCTACTGTGATGATGGAACTAAAATTAGCATTAACTGACACCTAATTCTTGATAAATGTATACTCACATACAACTTCAAACATTCATACTTAAGTACATCCATAAATATACATATGTACATATTTACATAATAAATTCAACACTTAAACAGCTTTCTCAAATACATACACATATTCTTTTGCATTTTCAGGAGTCAACCGCATGGAAGACACTAACGTCACATCCAAATTCATTGGTTCAACTCTTTCCGTCACGTGCCATGCGAGTCGTGCAAGAGGTGGTCAGATCGTTGCGTGTAAGTACATGAATACCAAAAAATGCCATTAGCTGGCGGCTAAGTAGGAGTAATGAAAAAGAATAAAAAAAAATGAATCGTGCCAAAATGGCAATTTGAAATTCAACGGCAAAACTAACGTAGTAAGTGAATAAAACCAGTTAGCTAGCCATTCATGCATTCTAACCGCAACAGTGACCTTCGTTGCAGAATATTGCAGGCAAAAAGTAGGCACATGCCGAATTTGTCAAGAAATAATTCGCATCAAAATTGTTTGCTAAATTGTTCGCTTGTATGAGAATGTATGCACATACGTAAGTAAGTAGGTGTGAATGCACTTGCGAGTGCCGCCGATACCGCAAGTCAGCAAAATAATCTAATCGCCATTAAAAGATATTTTGCCAAGTCGTGGCGAGTTAATTACGGCTCTGCCGCTTGACACACATTTTAGTTCTGACAACGATCTACATACATACTTTACTAAATTCTCATTACTACGAGCGCACTATTATTCGAAACGCAGTGGTGTGACGGTTTTTAATTTGACATTTGGGGCATACAAATTTGAAACTGAGGCGCGAAAAATCCCGAATTATATGTAATTTGTATTGTTCCTGTATTTGTGGCTGGTAAAATGAATGAAATATCGAGTTGTTGTTGGACGAGTATTGTAGCTCAGCGGGACAGACGGGAGATAGGTCATTTCTAGATAATTTGAGTACGCTAAATTCAATGGGTTTAACAGTTTTGCCGAATTGGCTCATGACTCCATACACAATTTTCAAATTTAAACTTTGCTTAAAAGCAGGGTTTTTTCACTAAATTATTATCTGAAAGTCTGAATATATCGTACCTTTCACGAACCCCATTAAAAATTTAAGTATTCAAAAAAGTCGAAAATAGTTTTTTTTTTTAAATTCAGAAAGAGTTGGTTTAGTGCAATTTTTCGATTAATTTATAAAAATTTCTTTGAAAATCTTCTAATACAGAAAATAATATCTTATTGAAAAAGCTTTACCTGAAGGTACTTATTTACACGCAGTCTTCAAATTTCCGACTGGGATGGGGAACCTTAATCTATAATTCGATGAATTCGATTACAAGGGAGTTGAAATGCTTAAATTTCCGATTGGCCAAGGCAGAACATTTATGGGGAAATAGCCCTCGCGTCTCATCGTGATTTAGTTTTTATCTAACTAGGACAAGGAAGAATGCGAATACCTTGAAGGCCTGAGGCTAGAAAACAGAGACATCTATGTTTTTTTTTGAAGTATTATCCGCAAGTCGGATCCTTAGACAGCTTTGCCAAGAAATCCCTGATAAAGGAGAAACTACTTGGACTTGGAAGCGTTTCGGAACTTATAGCACAGACAGACAGACGGAAACTTTAATTCAAATTAACGCCGCAGTTGGTCGGATAAAAATTGTACTCTGTTAGACAGCAGTACTGCGGATTAGGCGAGCCACGGTCATAGATAGACTGCGGATGTTTAAGCAGAAAACGAAGCCTAAAAATATGTACCACTTAACTATCAGCAAAATGTATAATAAATGTATACATTTGTATACATTTGTGGCCTTATTCATAAAAATTAAAGTGGGTTTAAACACAAAAAAACGTTTTTATACATTTTTCAGTGTACAAACCCTTTTTAAAGCCACTTTTTTTATGAATAAGGCCATTTGTCTATAGTTTTATGGCACATATTTTTAGCCTTCGTTTCCTGCATAACATCCGCAGTGTAGTCATAAATTTAATTTTTCGATCCTTTCATTACTATATTTTCAAATGTGTTTATAGTTGTTATGGGCTTTTTTAATAAAATTAAACTCTAAAAAATTTAATAAATTTAAAGTAATTGTGTCAAATAACTTACATGTTTCTTATACAATTTCATTTGAATTCCTATCTGAATTAATGTGGTGACTGCATTTCCGGCGACGAGGTAGATGACCACGCTAGTTTTGCATGTTCTCTGTATTCTACGTTCACTGAGTTTTAGTAAGTGTTGTCATCGAAAATGGCCCTCATTTGAATTATCTCTAGGACTTAATCCGCATCAACGCTGTCGTCTGCATATGGTTTTACTCACCAGAAACTTCGCGGTCAAATGAAATAAAGTAGTTAATAAGGAGAGCTCAGATTTTGAATATTTAACACGAATATCTTCGTCCGAGTACTGTACCCATCCGAAGTTGTCCTTAATAAACGATTTAGGAGACAACGATATCTACGACGAACCAATCACCACCTGCAGCTTTGATATTTTCGAATTTCTCCCAATGGCCTAAAAACTTAAAATGATGAGTTGTAGTTAGGACTGCGCACATACATATGTGTGTGTATTTATGAATTTTAGAGCGCCCAAGCAGCTACCATGAACTCTATACATACTCTTATTATTTCTATCCAAAAATGCATTTTAGTTTCGGGGCTTATTACTACGTTATCGTGCCGTACACATTCTGTACCTGCAGAATTTTGGTAATCTATTTTATTGTATTTAATAAAATTAGAAGGAGAAATAAGAAAAAAATTAAAAATAAAAGCATTATTTCAACTTGCATTCTATCTAAAGCAGCCACTATTGGGCCGTTTCTAAAGGCATGCTCTTAAGAATGCTCATACTTTACATATGTAAATATGTATGTATGAATACAAATGTACAAATGCAATCGTGTCAAGGTAGCGCAACAGAATTTTTGTAAATCTAGTTGCATGTAGATCCATACATTTGTATGCACATACATATTTAAATTTTGGAGAAAATCAAATGCAAGTATGTATATACATATACATACTCGTATATACAAGGCTAACAAGAACACGACTTAAAGCATTAATAGGTATTTTGAGGAGTGTTAACTAATTTTAAATAAAAAAATTTATTCTGCATATAAAATAAATAAATAAATAACCAAAGAATATCGGGACCGAAAATGTTATAACACGGTGCTACATGTGCTTTTAATGTCAATTAGTAGAAGTGGTAGAGCAGGCCTAAAAAATAATTCTGGCATTAGCAAAATTTTTAATACACCCNAATTAGTAGAAGTGGTAGAGCAGGCCTAAAAAATAATTCTGGCATTAGCAGAATTTTAAATACACCCCCAAAATCTTAAGTTATGAACAAAAACCTGAAAATCGGAATGTTGGGTCAAAACACCGGCCATAAATTGGACAGTTTTCAACGGCTTCTCATAATCTTACATTCGTGAAAAGAAGAAGGTTGTGCCATTCCACTGCTTTTGGGAAATTCAAGTTAAATTAGTTTTAGGCTAAAATAAACTAGATTTCCCCCTCCTTAAAAAGAGCTACATACTCCAGGCCTTAATTTTACAAAAAATCTCTAAGCTATAAAGATTTTTTCGAATTCATTCTATCACTTATAGCTACGGTGACCATCCGTCCTGTATTATACGGGACAGTCCTCTTTTTTGACCCATTGTCCTGGTAATTTATTTATTTTATACGGGACGCCAAATGTTCTGTATTTCTTTTAATGCCCTGTATTTGTCCCGTATTCGGTGTTCCGACGCCTTAACAGCTCATTAAAATGGCATGCCTATGAACGAGTTTTAAGTGATGTTGGTATATGATTGTAATTTTCTTTATAAACAGTTATTATTTTCTAATCTGAATGCCTGTGATTCGAATCGAGGAATACATACAGCGGCCAAAATAGAAATTAGGACTCGACATTTTAGTAAGTTTGGCTATTTTTCCTCAGTTTATTATTTACTTTATGAAAGTAAAGCTCTTTTAGTAACAAAAACCATATAATACCAAACTTCCAACTTTGTGCGAAAACTATAAAAATTAATTCTACAATATTTCGCCAAAATTTTAAACTTTTTAATTAGAATTTTTAGAAAAAAATTTGGTTTGCAGTTTTGTAACTCATTAAAATTTAGTATAATAAAGTGCGAGTGGAAAGTGCTGCTCATTTGCTTTTCTTTCACAAAAAAAGGTCGAACATACATACTTACTTTATATGAAAAAAATGCGTAACACCGTCAACAAAAAAAAAAATTGCCAAAAATTAGTGGTAAACCTTACCGACTTAAAGTGCACTTTGTTATACTAAAATTTAACGAATTTTTTTTAACAAATTTTACGGGGTAAAAATCTCGAGAAAATTATCCTACCAATTTGTGAGGTTTCTATAAGGATACTGTTTCAGGGAAAACAGTGTGGAAAAAATTTCCAAAATTATTTTTTGTCCCGTATTCGGCTCTCATAAATATGGTCACCGTACTTATAACAAAACCTCGATCAGAAGCTTGCAAAGGAATTATGTAAAATACTATACTAATGATGATCTAAAAGTAAACATCTTCTAAATAAATACCTCCTGATGACTATCATTTTCTGTCCGCGCATACATAAGTGTAACCATATCATATCTGATTCTCATTTTCCGATTTTTATATTTCGCAGAAAGACACAAATGTCATAGTCCAAACCTCTTTGGGTAAAGTTCGTGGACGTTTCCAGAAATACAGATCTGGCGAACGAGGTGGCTACTACAGTTTTAAGGGCATACGCTATGGTGAAGCACCAATAGGAACTAGAAGGTATAATAAATATTTATAGTATTTAAGTTCAAAAGCAAAAAACTTCCCTGCTTCAGATTTCGTGCTGCTGAGCCGGAGAAGGCTTGGTTCGGCGTACGCGATGCATCACGCGAGGGAAACAGCTGTCCACACAAGAATATGATACTGGACACTTTTAAGGGCAGCGAGGACTGCCTCTTTTTGAATGTCTTCACCACACAACTACCCAAGGCGGATGAGTGAGTGCGCACTGCTTGAATTTCCCACAAAATCTTTGATTTAATGGACATTGCATTCAATTTTAAAATTTACCTTTAAAATTTTTCATTTACATTCTTACAAAATTTACATACTTTTAGAAACTACATACACATCGACGGCTGAGTGGAATATCGCCTTATCTCAGCAAAGGGTTGAAAAACGCCCTATTTTAGAATTTGGTTGAAGAAGGCCCTATCTCAGCTGCAGGAATATTGAATTTATATTGAGATGGCGCGTTTTCGAAGTGGCTACAGAGGTAGCGCGGTTTTGAAGCAAATTCTGAAATAAAGCCTTCTGCAACTGTTTGCTGAAATAGGGCGTTTTCGAACCAGCCACCGAGATAGGGAGATCTTCCACTCAGCCGACGGACATATTACATATGTAGATATTTTTTATTACTATTGTGTTCTACTTTTTTGGGCTATAGTGATCAGCTTTTGCCGGTTATGGTTTGGCTACATGGTGGCGGCTATTCATTCGGCTCCGGCAATACTTTCCTTTACGGTCCTGACTACTTAGTTGCAGAGGATATTGTTTTGGTTACACTGAACTATCGTCTCGGTCCCTTGGGATTTTTGACTGCCGGTCCAGACGCGCCAGGCAATCAAGGATTGAAGGTGATTAAACGCTTGCAGATCAAATACCATTGAATAAACATTACTTTATCAATACGTATTTTTTCAGGATCAAGTGCTCGCCTTAAAATGGGTGCGTGACCACATTGCGGCTTTCGGTGGTGATCCAAGGCAGGTGACAGTTTTCGGAGAGTCGGCTGGAGGCTCAAGCGTACAAATGCTACTTTTATCACCGCAAGCTGAAGGTCTCTTTCAACGTGCTATCTCACAAAGTGGTTCGGCGTTAAACCCTTGGGCGATGGCCGAAAGTTCGTCTGAACGCGCTTTCCGATTGGCCGCTAATTTGGGATACGTGGGCGCCAATGATACCGCAGAGATATTGGAATTTTTGCGTCGTGTGCCTGCAATGAAATTGGTTGAAGCTGCACCCACAACGCTTACAGCTGAAGATTCACGTAACAATATTGGTTTACCATTTGTGCCAATTGTGGAGGGTTATTGGAACGCACAGGGCGAAAGTGAAGTATTCTCTGAAGAACCTTTCATCACAAAACACCCTAACGAAATATACGACAAACGTCAGTTTCACAGCAAGGTGCCATATATGACGGGCTATAATACGCATGAGGCGATGCTCTTCATACGGAGTGAGTAATGCATTGCTAAGTTTGATTAATACATTTATGTTCATATATCATGTCGGTCTTCATAGGACTGCGAAAGAATCCAAATCTACTGGAAATAATCGAGAATGATTTTTCGCGTATGGTTCCACGTGATTTGAACGTCACAGATGAGCGTGAACGGGTAACGCGTGACATCCGTCAATTTTATTTGGGTAACAAACAAGTGGGTGTCGAGTCGGTGGACGAAATGATTGCAGTGAGTCTCATAAACACATAGTTAGAAAAATCCAAGTTTTTAAAAAGATTAAGTCTTTCATTGTATCCGCAGCTCTTAACGGATCTAATGTTCCTGCAGGGCATACGCAAAACTGCGCGTAATCACGCCAAATATGGCAATGCGCCTGTGTATATGTACCGTTTTTCGTACGATGGTGCACTGGGACTCTATAAACGCATGTTGGGCATTACAAGGCCAGGCGTATGTCATGGTGATGAAATGGGTTATTTGTTCAAATTCGGTTTCTTCAACTTAAGCTTGGATCCCCGATCAACAGAGGTGCTTGTGAAGAATCGTATGGTGCGCATGTGGACGAATTTCGCCAAATATGGGTGAGTGTTTTATTACAAAATTACATGGTTATTGAATTTATGTATTTTGTTTCGAATCAATTTTTTCTTACCAAACCAGCACTCCCACACCGCAAAATGAAGAGGACACAATGTTGACCACGAGCTGGGAACCGATAAATCCGCAGACTGTGATGGAAGATATCAGTTATTTGGATGTCTCTGTTAATATGAACATGCGTAGCAATCCAGAAGCTGAACGACAAGAGTTCTGGGACTATATGTACAAGCACTTTAATGGCGCCGCAATGTAGTCCGGCATAAATCCGCAAAATCTTCGCTAAAAATGCATTTCACTCGTCTAAATTTCATTAGCAATGCCATAAATCAATATGTAATATGTCACAAAAGAACATAAGCCAAGAAAGAATACGAATTACATTGAAATGAAATATGAAGGCACTGAAATTGGAGTTTTACGCAATTTTAATCAATGTTACTGTTATAATTAGATTTTGAAATTACCAGAAAATTATGTAAACATTCTGTTCCCAGCTCCAATTTCAATTATATGCCCAACAATTAGCGATCATTTACCGCTCACTGCATTTTAATATATTCACACTTATTAATTTAAATACTATTAGTTTTACATTAGCTGTAATATTCGTAGTTTAGCTTTAAGCACCATTTCGTAGCATTTCATATATCCAGAGCATTTACAATATTTATAGCTGTATAATTTTTATACACAGGAAATTAAAGTATTGTAAGGTGGCGAGTGCATTTTTCGGGCTTATAACTTGCTGATTTATTTTGGTTATAACGTTCTGCGCAAAAGCTTTTTTAACAGATCATTTGGTTTTACAGTATAAGCCCGAAAAAGACACTGGCCATGTTACAAAAATTTTAAATTCCTGAAGATTTGACCATACGTATCTATGCATGTGTATAAAAATATGTAGTTACCTTTTTTCATTTGTACATAGTCCAATTTCTTTAGTTATTGCCTCACATTAAATTATCATTCTAAACTTTAAGATTTTATAAATGCGAATTTTGTTGAACAGTTAACGGAAGACAAGTTTTTATGTATAAAAATAAACAACAATAAAATTGTATTTATTTTTTGTCTTTACTCGGAAACACCGTCGATCCTTTTGAGTGATATAAATACATTTGTAACAAAAATATGCTACTATCTATAGTGAGTTCCGCTTTTGAAAGTGTCTTGATTCGAGATTTCACTTTTTCCAGAATTTCTCTTTCCGGTGGCGTCAAAGTCTCCAGTATCTATGCAAGAAAAATAAAACAGTAAATGATAAATACATATGTATTTATGTATGTACGTGTTTTGTTCACTATATAGGGAACTTATGTATTTATGAGCACGTACTTCTTCTATATATTCCGCAGATTCACCACGCTCTTTCATTGTCGCAACAATGCTGTCCAACTTTTGCGACTTTTCAATTAATCTCTTATGTTCAGACTTTTCAAAATTAGAGCGTTCGATCGTATTGTATAAAGCTTTGTAGCAAACGTTTAATATCATGCGGACGCTCTGTGAAAGAGAGATAAGATATTGTATGACTAAAAATAAATATAAAGAAAGGCGATGTATCCTTGTGTTTAGTTCTTTTATCCACACAAATACAATGTAGTTAGAAATATCTACACATAAACACGTCACAATAAAATTCTGAACCCCACTTTTTCGAGGGCTCGATTTCAGTAAATCCTACACCGATGGGAGAAACTAACTGAACTTCTCAAATCGCTTATCTCTGGAACCGCTTATGCTAACGAATACGATTCGTAGCAAAATCCGAATATTAGTCAAAAAGGAACCGTTAGGCATCTCATCTATACATACAAATACATATAAATATTTTTTATAAAAGAAAATGTATGCTCTTTTTTCGGTCTAATTTTGAAAGCTACTGAAAAAATTAGGAGACTTGGTACTTAGAATTGATCCTAATCAAGCCTTCATAATTCGATTTTAAGTTTTCCTGTATATTCACTATAAATTTCTCTTTTGGACTACAAAACCGTCATTCCCATAAAAGAGTCAATATTGGTGACAATCACAATTCAAAAGTGCATGAAAAAGATGTAGAATTTCGACAACTGGGCGATACTAGTTTTAAATAAAATTCGTGTCTTTGAAAGGACTCAGAACCCGGAAGTGATCGTTTCATACCTGTTTGGGCTTGAAGTGGAACAAAAAATATGCTTTGGCTGGTCCCATCCCACCACCGCCTGCTTTTCTGATTGTTTTCATTTGTATAAATTGATCCTGAAATAGGTAATACGATAACAGTTTTGCCTCTCGTGCTGGTATCATTGCTTCTTTTTGCAAGTCTTCCTGCTCTATGAATTTTTTCATGTGTATTATGCGGAAAATACGTGAAGCCTTTGATCCATATCGTTCTGTAATCACACGGCCAAACCAGGTAAGCGTCAACTCTTCAAAGGCCTTACTTAGATCCACCACATACTGTCCACCGCCCATTTCACCAATTTTCCGTATAAATCCTAATGGATCATCAGCTAAGTAAGGTAATATAAAAACTTAAACCTTATGAAAAAAGACTTAACAACAGTTCAATTTATACCTAGTAGCGAAACGTATTGATCTAAATGCTTTATTAAATCCAAATTGTTTGACTTCTTCTCAATCATTTGTTTTATTTCGGCCAAAGTGAATGGATTTGAGCATTCCTAAGTTTTGGAGGAAGATGATTAGAACTTGTTGACTAACATATTTTATTAACTGCATACCTTTTGCCACGGATCTGTTCGCTCATACATTTGCTTCAGCATATATTTGAAGCATTCGCTAGCGCTGGCACCTAGTTTGCGGTCAATAGCGCCAATCATTAACGAATCCCGAAAATCCTGGTGAAAACGACTGAAATTGATGTGCCAATAAATACCTGCATCTGCAGCTTGCTCTACTTTTTCTTTGCCTGCCTGCACCTGCGCTATAAACTGTAAATTTATTTCTGGGGGTGCAAAATATTGGTAGGCTTCGATTTGCAATTTAGGCACCGGATCTTCCTCACCCGGTACCAGTTGTGGCAAACGAATAAGGTAATTATCGCTTAACATAGCCAAAAAGTTGTCGCGATAGGACTCTATTTTTTCCTTCGTTTCAGAGCTTGCAATGCATTTGAGTAATATATTGGTAGCTGTTTGGGGGCCGGTATGTAATAGTTCCTCAGCTATAGCAGCGCCAACTGTGCCATATTTAGTATGTATTAATTGTACGTAACTATAAAGGACAAATATTTGAATAGAGTTTGTAACAAGATATAATTATTAGCACCAACCCTGGATAGCGCAATATGTAAAAAATTTCTTCGCGTTTTAGCGCATACTCAGCCAAAAATGTGTTCGATTCGCAGGGCAAAAATACTACCAATTGATATTTAATGAGCACCGCCAAAGCCATGGATACCTAAACGAAAAAATGTTTACTCTATCGAGCTGTTCCCTGATCATTTGCATTACATACCTCTTTGCGAGACAGCTTTGTTGTTTTCGCAATTGCCGGCAACGTGCGTGAAACCGCACAGAATAAACAATCAGCCACGGCCTGGACAGTCTCACCGAAAACTTGCTTCACGATCACAGAGCAAAGATTTGCGTATTCTATAGACATTGTGCCGCACTTTAGTGTCCCGAATTTACGTATATTTATAAACAAGAAAAATAATGCATAAAAGATGTAAACATTTGTTTCTTAAAAAAGCGTGCAACAATTTGCTCCATATCAGCTGTTTTACTAATCACTCGGCGTTGCCATATCGATGGTATATTAATTTCATAAGCCATATGTCACCATCCAACTAGTTGTGCGATCAGCAATAATAACGAACATAAAATGAGTTTGTAGGCTGTTTTGTCTTAAAAGTCATATACCAAACTAAACTAAAGTAAATCTTCACCAGCAAAAGGCCATTTCGGGGATTCTGGTTGTTGTAACAGCATACAAATTTCCCAATGAATTTTTGGAGAATGGTGCTGAGGTGACTGGGGCAGACATAAACCTGAGGCGTTCTGTTTACGTAGACCCTTCCATCGATGGAATGAGGTCGTTTAGATTTATTAACTTACCTGTGCAAGTTTTTTTTGACTACGAATGAACTAAGGTTTTGGAGTGCTTGACTTCTATTGTTGCTGGATGCTTAGAGCTATGTGCTACCACTCGTCAGGAGCTGGGTTCAATCATCTGGCAGGCAATGACAAACCTCTGCCTGAAAAAGCTTTTCATAAAATCAATTTCCATAGCATCCCACAGATTCAAGTTTTATACTATGTAAGTAGATGGAAACAAAAGACTTAAGCAGCAAACTACAATTTAAATTTTTTTCTTAAATGATTTCCAAAGAGCCACAAAGAGTTAAATTGTCATAAATTTTACAATTTTCAAGATTTGTAGGGAAGTTACATATTTGCACAAATTAAACCACTTTTCAGGACCACATTGCAGCGCAATTCCGCAGTTTCTCTGCTTCTATATTCGCTTTCATTTAGCATTTGTTATCAAAGCTATCGTGAAAAGCCCTAATCAATTATTAAATGCAATAGCTATGTATATTGGGACTTAGGAAACATACTTATTAAGCAAATAATTAAGAATATTGGTAACTGAAGTACAAACAGGTCTAGATATGGTTTCCAAAATTCTCTTGTCAAATTTGAGAGAATTTTTCTTAGTTGCGTACGAAAACCGCCTATGATGTCTAGAATGATCGTCAAAACCAGTAATACCCAACTCGCCCTCGGCAACAAATTTGTTACCGGTAATATTGCCATCGTATCGATTCCTTTTTACCAGTCGCTCTAAAAAGTCCGCCGAAGGAAACTCGCCTGGGCGAGTCGTTTTCTTAGCACCTGAATGAGCCGTTTTCATATCGGTTTATTGTTGCTACAGGCGATATTTGTAATAATGTTATTATTTTTAATAATCCATAAATTTTTTTTGTGTACAAAACTGCGACTTGAAAAATGAAATTTATTATTTCTCTCGCTATGGCGCTTCCAATTTTTTCACTCCTACATTAGGCGTAAATTAGATGTTTTTGAGAATCCTGTTGACATCTGTTTGGGAGTAATAGTGATGATGTATTCCTAAAATGACATGAAAGAAATTATGTCACCACGGCAATAAGCCCGCGAGTCGCCAATATGTTGCCATTGATGATTGTTGCCTATTTCTCATGTTTTGCCTCGTGGGTTTTTTGAATATTTATCAAGATTTTTGTTCTAAGTATGAGTATTATACAGCAGGCAGGCAATGGCAAACCTTAGAGTGTATGTCTGCGAAATAAAACCATTATATCACAAACATTTTATTAAACTATTTTCACTTTGTAATGCACATACATAGAATAATTATATATAAATTGGGGCTTATAAATATGGATTATACATACTGTATACCAGATACCCGAGCCAGTGGCCTTCGAAACGGCGACTATGAAAATCGAGAATGCGAGCACATAATTGGAAACATATATAAGGGGGGAGATTTTGTTTTGTGCACGTGTGATACTGGTACAGAACTGGACTTGAATCGTCACATGCGATATCGTATTATTCGTCACGTAAAAACACATTTTTCGGATTATGACATACGTGAACGTACTCTTTACCCCATTCAGCTTATACAACTGACGGTATCACGTAATTTTCTTTCGTATGGCTTTCGATCAGTGAGCGGATGTTAAGATTCGAGCCCTGGTTACAGAATATCCTGCCGTAAATATTGAAAAACTTATATTCTTTAAGGATATGTACAGTTCTTTTACAAACATATCGTCGTTTAAAGTACAAAACCGCGTAACTGACATTTTGCATTATCTTGATACGCGGCTTTGCAGTTTGTTGATACGCGGTTTTGTACTTTAAACGACGATATGTATGTATGCATAGCTATTTGAATCGTTCTTATATTAAGGCATTAAATAACATGAAAGCATTATTAAAATGTCAGCAATTACTGGCTTTTATGCTTTCTAAATTTATTTGCAAACTAATTTTTTACTCAAACAGTGAATATTGAATATTTATAGAAAATCTCAATTATCTGTGTTATTTATAAATTACGCATAAAGCTGTGAATAATCAATTATTATCGATAATTAAGACTAGACACATTCTGTGGCGCGGGCCCTGCGGGTTACTCAAGGAATTCGCGCCCAGTTTCCGATTAACTTCAAAAACAAAACAGAAGAAAAAGTTTTTTTCTAATAGCGGTCACCATGGAATAAACAGCTTCTCATAAAAATACAATCGTCGTTCAAAGTCGGCGTAAAACTGTAGGTCCCTCCAGTTTGTGTGACATCATCAAGGCGTACGCCACAAATCGGAGGAGAAGCTCGGCCATATACTAACATATTGGGTATGCGCCAATCTATCATTATGTTATTAAATTTTAACCATTTTATAATACCTTGGGTTCGAAAATGATCCGTCAGCCGTTTTTGCGACTAGTGACATAAACTTGCAAGGTTTAGAGATGCCTGATTGGCAAGTCGTTTTCGATTGTCTATGACACACTGAATCCGAATCTGTCAATCAAAATTTCCAATCACGACAGGTTTTTGACAAAATTGGGCTTAAAACCCCCGTTGTACGTTTTGATAAAACTTTCCATAAGCCGTTATAATTTTCATTTAAATTTTCAATATTTTATTTCTGTTTAACGTTACGTTGTATTACAATAGTTTTGTGTTACATTCATTAAAAATATTATAAGCGATATCAATTACAACATTGCCATAATCATATTTACCAGTACTAATTTTCGAGTGTGTTAACTGTCAGACTACGCTTGAAAAGCCTACAAAGCCTGAAACAAGTTCGAATTTCGGCATCGTTCGGGCTTTTCAGACTTTTATGACTCGCCAAAAGCCGCGCAACACGGCAATACCCGATTGGTTTGACAGCAACTCCAGCAGAAATACAAATTGCTAGTGCAGCACGAGCAAGTTGCAATATACTTTGGAAATCGGTTTTCGCTCTTTCAATTTCAGTTTCATTTTGCAACTTTTATTTCTGAAACTGATTTCCCAAAATTTGAGAGAAAGGTCTTTCTGACTGTTCAGATATCAAAATAAAATTTCTCTAATATGGTGTTCGAATATGACCTTTTTCCAAAGTAGATTTTCGAGTTATTCGAAAAATTGCAATTTGAAAAAAAACCGGTTGCCAATTTTTAAAAGCGGTTTTAGTTTACATAGGCTCTGATCCAATACTTTTCGTGTGAAATCCTGTAAAAATGTCAAACAGCAAAATTACTATCTGAAGTGAGAGTAAAAAGTGAGTAACAACAAAAAGTACGGGAACAAAAAAAAACTTTTTCCTGTAAAAACGTCAACCAGTGGTCGCTTGACACTTTTCATGATCTTACCAGAAGAAAAAGTTCGGGTAAAATCTTGCAACTTCATTCTCTACACAACTTTCCAAAAATCGCTCTCATTTGCGGGATTTTGGAAAAATTTGTAGCTTCCTACAAATTCGTGTAAAAACCTCTAAGTTCATGGAGTACTGGATCAGAGCTATAGTGAAAAGGCTTATTGCATTTTCCCGACTTTTTCCCGATTCGAGTAGTTCTCTTGCCGCGCTAGCAGAGTGCCACTCGTGACGTCCAAGGTTCAATCTCTTGTCCCAGCAACATAAAGAAAGTTTTTTTTTCGGATAGCGGTTGCTTCTCGGCACACAACTGCAAGCCTCAAAGTTTACTTCTGCCATGCAAAAGTTTCTTCGGAGGCGGAGTAAAAGTGTAGATCTTCATTTGTGTCACATCAAGGAGAAGAAAACGACTTACGGCCAGTTTTTCAGTGCCAGTTTAAACTTAGATTAAGTAAACTGAGCTTAAATTGAACAGCTGGCTGACATTTGATTAGCTGATCTTAGTTTAAATCAGCCAGATGGGGCGTTTAAACTTAGTTTAAACCACGGCCGTGCACTGAAAGACTGGCCCTTAGAGGAGAAAACGTTTAAGCGCCGAACATTTATTTATTGCATTCAAATAATCTAGGATATAATTTTAAAATTTTTTAGGGTTTGCCATAAAGCTTGAAATGACCTTGAAAACTTCGAAAAGTTCAAAACTTTTATTGAGAGGTCAATATTTGTATAAAATGGAAGAAAACCGGTTTGTTCGATAAAAAAATGCGGTTGATCTCATATTCCAAATATCAAGATTAAAAAAAAAAAAACGCTTATAGATCAAAAACAGGTGGAACCCCCCATTGCATTTGCGGGGTTTTCACTATGCAAAAATGGTTAATAAAATGGTTATTGCTTTTGAAGAATTCTATATCATTTCTTGGAATTTATTATTTTTCCATATAAAATACATGGAAAACTTTGAGCGCTTTGAGCGACCTCTAAATATTTTTTGATTTCAAAATCAAAAATAGGGGTAGATATATATTTTTTCGGTATAGAAGAATCCAAGGGGGCGAGAGCATAAAAATTCCGACTTTACTTTTTCACATGCATTTTTGGACCACCCTAGTGTACATACATATGTATTTCTAACTAAAGGGACACTCAAACAGACGCGGTATTGGAAGTGCGGTACAAGGAGGTACATAGTATAGTTATGCGTCTGTTTGAGTGTCCCTTAATCAGGGCACAATAGCATTCACATCATTCCAAGAGCCACGTGTTCACATTTCGACGGCAATCATTCAGCATCTTTAATGGCCTCAATACCAATTAAATTAAGAGGGTTCTTGTCTCAACACAGCATTATTTTAATTTC